TATATAAAGATTATTTGTAAGGGCCATTCAGGGGTCACCATCACACCTGCTCGCTCCAAAACGAACCAAAAATGAACCAAACTAGTCAAATTTTGTAATGCTTTGTTTGAGCAGGTTTGTGCCGTTGAAACGGCTGTTTATGCTGCTATAATTTATTAGATATTACACATTATAATTTCGGATGATCACGTGTCTGTGACGTGGTAAACAATCCAGGCCAGGTCACGTGATCGGCCGAAATTATAACGTGTAATATCTAATAAATTATAGCAGCACAAACAATTGTTTCAATGGCACAAACCTGCTCAAACAAAGCACTACAAAATTAGACAGGTTTGGTTCATTTTTGGTTCATTTTGGAGCGACGGTGACCTCTGAATTACCCTTACAAATAATCTTTAATATATAAAAAACCAAAGCAGCACAAATGACAATTTCAAGTGCACAAACGCGCACAAATGATGCACTAACCACTCATCTAATTTGCATTTTATTTTTCTGTGGTTCATTTTTTGGGAGGGGTCAGCGTCACTCAGCTATTGCTGTGGACGTTGCGGATTCATGGCTTAGGCAAAGGATGTTGGTGGGCAGTGGCACAAGGAAGTCTTGGCCTAGGTAACGGTAGAACACCTCACTAGGTGACAAGGTAAAAGGGAAGGAAAAGAAAAGGTGATCCTGGAGAAGTGCAAGTAGGAGTACAGGAGAGTCCATCTGATAGGGATGTGCCAGCAGGAAGCCTAGACAACATGGGAAAAGTGGTGTAGTGTAAGGTGTTATGTAGCCTGGTAAAAACCAGACCCTTGTCCTTCACTTTGTTTCGTACGAGGGGCTGGACTCTCAGCTTCGGAGAAGCGATTCTTGCTGGAGGCATGGCCTCTGCTGAAGTTTAAAATGATTGGCTCAGTTGGCCGTGACTTATGCATGCCAGCTACATTGTGAAGGAGGCTAAGCTAAGAAGCTAACCGGAAATTGCGTGCGCTGTAAGCAACCCTACTGAGAGAAGAACCGAGCCAAACGAAACGGCTGTAAATGAGAGCTGCTGCTTTGTCAGACAAATTTATTTTAATTTGGACGCCTTATCAACACAGACTGGCTTCATTCACTTCCTCCACTGCCATAGCTAAAATAACTAGCAGACACTGAGCAGAAAATCAACATCGTTCAAAACTCCTCCTTCTGTTTGCTGATTGGCCCAGGTAAAATAAACTACAAGCAGACACTGCGCAGAAAATTGACGTTCTGTTCTCTTTTTTTAAGAAGAAAAAGAAAGAGAAGAAAAAAGTGAAATGTAATGGGAAAGAGTGAAAGAGAGATTAGAAGATATGTGAAATATATATCGAGAAAACACAAGACAACACACCCGACATCTTGGCTGCACACCTACAGAAACAGAGATAACAAAAACACAGCAACAAAATGCATATCTATATGATTATAGCCTTGCTGAAAGG